CCCCCCTCCCCGCACCGTGCGACGAGCCCGCCCCCAGGGCTGCAGGCTTGGGGAGTCGGGGTGCTCCGTGTGGGACATCGAGACTTGGGGAGACCGGAGCGCCCCTCGAGGTGAAGCCACTGGGTTGCAAGACCTGTGCCGGGCGTTCCCCGGGAGAACCAAGGGACTCACCTCTCCCCCACCCTCCACCGCACGCACAACTTCTGCGCTTTTCACCTGGACTGGCGCACGACGACTGGCGGACTCTGGCGCGGGGACTGCAGGGCAGCGGGCGCCCCCTGCCCAGGTGGCCAGTCGGGGCGAGGGGACGGTGTTGCACCCCTCGCCCCCACCTGCTGTGCCTGGATGGCTCCACTGGCTGAGTGAGCGAGGCAGCGCGCGCTTCTTTCCCACAAGGACCCCTCGTCGTGGGGGACGATGTACGAGAGTGTGGAAGTGGGGGGGCTCACCCCCACCCCTAACCCCTTCCTAGTGGTGGATTTTTATAACCAGAACCGGGCCTGTTTGCTTCCGGAGAAGGGGCTCCCCGCCCCTGGCCCCTACTCCACCCCGCTCCGGACTCCGCTTTGGAATGGCTCAAACCACTGTACGTACCGGCCGTCCCTCTGCCATTGTAGGAAGCGGGGACGAGGGTGGGCAGTGGGCGTTCCCGTGCCTATGTCGGGAGACGTGGGTCCTGGAGTTGTGGGGGCGAGGGTGTCGTGTGTCTGCCCTTCACCTCCCTGTCTGTCTTGCAGCGGGACCCTCGGACCCCCTCCCCCTGCTCCCGTAATCCCGGCAGCTATTTCAGTTATGGACTTTGAGACTTCGCGCTTTTCTCCCACTCATTCCAAGGGACAGGAGAGCCCAGTCCCCAGCCCCCTGTCTGGTTTCTGTCCGCCTGGCCTGGAATCTAGCTGCTTCCCCGCAGGCTGGGGGCTGGGTGAGGGTCCTGCCTTGGGTTTGTCTACTCCTAGGGGGAGGGCCCACTTGCTCAGACCCCACCCCCCGCATAACCCTGGGGGAGAGCCCCCTCCCGGGTGGTGGTGACAGCTGCTGTGCCTGCGTCATCGCAGCGGTGTTGGGGAGCTCTCCCCGTCTGTGGTGTTGACAGTGGGGTGTGGCAGAAAGGAGCAACTTCACCGGACACCCTCTGCCACCCTCACTGTGCAGAGGCCTCGGGGAGGGCTGTTTGGGGTTGTCCTGGGACGACACTTGCTTGGCATCTGGGTGGCTTCTGTCCTATAAATGGTCCAGTGGGAAAAAAATCCTCCCTCTAATCCTAATCCGTTTTTTTTTTCTTTCCCCTCTGGGGGTGAGTTTGTTCCTGTGGGTCTAGGACTGCTCTGAAATAAGGAATTCACCTCCCAGCCCAGCACTGGTGTCCTTTTGTTACCCACCTTTTTGTCTCCACCTGGGGATAGGGCTGGTACTGCACTTCCTAAGAGGGGCACTGAGGAGAGAGCCCTGGCACCCCGAGTCCCCCCCGGGGGGGAGGGACTCTGTGCTCACCCAGGGGCCCTGAGGCCACGGGTGCATCTGGGCCTGTGTTTGCCCTGCTCTGGGGCTGTGGGAGCAGACACGGGGAGAGGTTATTGTAGGGTGCTCAGGTTGCTAACAGCTCTGGGCTCAGCTCTTGCCCAGCTTCTCCCACCCCCCTGCTGGCTAGGGAAGGGAGTAGAGTGACCCTGGGAGATTGAAGAAGGTCAAATGGCAAAGGATTCCTCTTCCCCACCTCTCTCTCCTGGGTTTAGGATGGGACTGGAGGTGTGCTGACCCACTCACCTCTGCCTTCCCTGTGGTCCTGCCTCATGACCTTTACCCCCAGGGCAGAAAAAGCCCACGAAGCTACACAGGGGAGAGTGACTGTCCCTCTGCCGACTTGGGGAAAGGAGCCACAGAAGTGTGTGGGGGGGTATCACACCAGGACCATTCTCTCAGCACTGGAGGGAAGGGTCCACCCCTTCTGTGCTGGCAGGGCTGTCCCTTCCTCTACTGGCTCCATTAGACTGGGTGGAAGCTGGGATCCCAGCCCTGGGGCTGCCTTAGCTGAAGGATGGGGACAGCTCACTTCTTCCTGGCACTGGCCAGAGGGGGAGGAGGAGCAGAACAGGCGAGAACTCCTCCAACCACTGGACATGGGGAAGTGGGGTTTGGGGTAGGGTAGAGCTGGAGACCTGGGCTTCCTGTTCCTGGGTAGGTGCAGGGTGCCCAGGAGGGCCCAAAGCCTGAGCGGGTAGAAAGCTGCTCTGAGGTACTGGAAAAATGCCTATGGAGTTTGTAAGGGCAAGACCAGCCTTACTAGAAGGGACTGCTTGGCGTGGGTGGAGGCCTCTGGTGACTGGCCCTGCCTTGCAGCCCCCTAGCAGAGAATTCTCTACCCCTCCATCCTCCCACCCCCACCCGGACCCCTCCCGCCAAAGTGGGGAGAGAGGACAGAGGCTTGGCTGCTGGGAGGAGACCTCCTAGGTCTTGCAGAGCCCTGGAACCTTGCCTCCCCTTCCCTCAGCACCCCCTCTTGCTGCACGAGAACAGGGGGTGTACAGGATGTGGCTCCCCATCTGTCCCCCACCAGTCTGCAACATTCACGCCTCCGCCCGCTCCCAGACGTCCAAGAATGTGAAGCACGTGGATGCCCGTAGTGGGGGGAGGGGAGAGATGCTTATCAGGCGGCCGCTGGGCCAGGGGCCTGCTTCCGCTGGGGCTACACCCAGGACTGTTGCCCCAGCCCCGCTAACCCACACCCTCTCTCCCTAAGAGGAGGAAGGGCGGTGCTAAGGGCCCGGAGCCCCCATCTCCACCCCAGGGGCTGTGAAGGGAGCTGCGGAGGGGCGGGCGCCAGCTGGATTGGGAGGGGAGTCGCTGGCCTGGGGCCCGGCTGGTTTCCTGCTGATCTCCACCAGGAAATCGGCCCCTTGTGCGAGCCTGCGAACAGCTCTGGGGCGTGGGGAATGGGGGGGGGGGGCCTGCCGCCCAGGAGGGAGGAGCAGAACTCTTGGCTTCCTGGGCCGCGTCCAGCCCTCCATCAGGCTCTGGAACTTGGAGCCTGAGCCCTCTGCAGTGGGCCAGGGCCTGTGGGCAGTGAGGTCAGGGGAAACGCCAGATGGGGGCAGCTCCAGCTTTAGCTCGGTGCAGGAGAGGTGAGAGGCCTGCCTGGAGCATCACCACCCCCGACTCCCGCCACACACACACTTGTGCCTTGGTCCTGCCGCTGGTCGCCCCAGGCTGCTGGCTGGAGGCTGAGGCCCCCAGTTCTGGGTTCAAAGGGCAAAGCCAGAAATATTAGAGCTGGGTTACCTGGGACACAGGTGGGGTACATTCTCAAATTGGGGTGTTTCAGTCAGTGGCGCCGTCCCTGGGCCAAATGTTACCCCTGAATTGGGGTCATCTCTGCCAAGAACCATTTTCAAAAGCAGTTTTCTTCCAGTTGCACACACACCCTCAGGACTTTGCCTGGGCTCCCAAAGTGTGGGAGCCTCCGCTCTGGCCCCAGTGCCTCCCTCCTCCCGACAGGGACCTGCCTCCTTTTCCAGCCTGGCTTACTTTAGGGGTGGGGCCTTGGGCAGAGGTGGGGCCAGGGCAAAGGGTGGATGAGGTGGGGAGGGAGGTCAGGGCCTGCTTCCTCTTGTTGGAATGCTGACCAGGCTTCTGGGCCATGCTCCCCCATTACCCTCTTGTCCTTGGAACCCCCCCACACACACGCACACCAGTCTGGCTTGTCTATTGTTACTGCTTTTTTACGTCTTGGAAAAAGTTAGCACAACAAAGAGCTGCTTTGTGGCTCACCCCTCTGCCTCCCCCATACCCCCCAACCCCTGTCCACTTGCCCCCTCGTCCTCAAGCCTCCCTGCCTGTCTGATTTGCTCATCTGGCCTGGGGAGAGTGAAGTGGGGGGGCGGATCAGGGCAGCTGGGTGTTGGGTGAAGGGCAGAGGTTAGGGAGATCAGGGCTGAGTTTGTGGGAGCAGCAGTGGTGGTGGTGGGCACCCACTATCTCTTGGCAGGAAAAGGGGATATGGGACCCCAGCAGAGCTTTTAACTTAGGCTGACCAGACAAGGGATGCCAGGACTGCCAGAGCTGGGAGCTGGGTGCTCTGAGGGACATGTCTGCAGAATGTTTGGCCCAGCAGCTGTGCACAGGGGTGTGGAGGCGGCCCATCAGAGTCGCATCCTTGCCCATCCTTGGTCTTGGATAGGTAGATGTGGCAAGGGCCCCTGGAGATGGCTGGATGGTTCTCATCTAGCACACTGCACCACTGACCCCAACCGAGCCCTGGTCTGCCCGGGATGGCATGGCACCAGGCCCTGGGGAGCTATTGGTCAGTGGGGACAACTCCTGCTGGCTGGGTCACCCCTCCTGGCTGTCCTCTGGGAGGGGAGAGGGTGGTTACCCGGATGTAGTGTTGAAGCCAGACAGACAGACCATTGATGGGAACAGACCCCCTTTGTCACACAGCCTCCCCTAAGCCAGGGACACTTGGAGCAATCAGCTTCTGGGACCCCTGATAACTGTGTCTTCAGGTGGTCTTGCTACCTCTTGGAGAAGTCCCCACTGGCTGGGTCCGAGCCTTCCTGATTCTGCTTTGCACACCCTCCTGGGTGCTAGGGCAGCCTGGGGGATTGTTTGAGTGGAGGAGGGGTTCTGGCTGCTGGCAGAGGGGTGGAGGGCGGAAGCAGAGGGGGTGAGGGAGTAGCTGGCTTTGAATATCCTGTTGACCCCCATTTCCTCTGCCCCTAGCTTGTGTCGTCTTCCCTCCCTCCTCATCCAGCCTTAACTCCTTCCTAACTTGGGGGGTGTATGACCCCCTCCCACCACCCCTTGGCATAGCATGGGCGCGCGCGCGCGCACACACACACACACACACACACACACACAGTCTGATGGTTCATGATCTCCCAGCTTTCTGGGTTGGAGATGAAGTCCTGTGTGTATAGACAGGAGTGATGGGTGCAGGGGCCTTTCCTGAGCAGGACACAAGGGCTTGCACCCCCCAACCACCCCCTCCCCTCTTCTCTCTGCAGCCATCGAGACCCAGAGTAGCAGCTCGGAGGAGATCGTGCCCAGCCCCCCCTCCCCACCTCCCCTTCCCCGCATCTACAAGCCGTGCTTTGTCTGCCAGGACAAATCCTCAGGCTACCACTATGGGGTCAGCGCCTGCGAGGGCTGCAAGGTGAGATGGGGAAGCCTTGGGAAGGGCCCTCTAAGAGATGTGATCCGTGGGGTGTCCTCGCCACCAAATGCCAGGAGTATCTGGCTGAGGGCAGCGACTGTCCCTGAAAGCACTCCTGCTTCTTTGTGGACATGGGCCTTGGAGAGAGGGGGTGCCAGCAACAGAACACCCCCCAGAGACGAGCAGCCCCATCCCACCACTACCACCCCAAGAACCAAAGGTCCTCTCCTGCTTCAGCTTCTTCCCCTGGCTCTACGCTTCAGCTGGCAGGGCGTGCTCTGCTCTGCCACCGCTGCCCAGGTTGCCATGGTGAGCTGGCTGCAGACCGGCTCTTGGCTGGGGACCCAGGAGGCCTGCCCCCGGCGGCCCTGCCTGAACCTCACCATGGCGGCCTGGCAGGCGGCAGGCGGGAGCGGGCACCCTGCCCTGGCCTTGCCTTCAGGTACTGCGGCTCTGGGCTCCCCCAGCGTCTGCATTTTGCCACCCTGGGTCGGGCTCCAGCCCTCCCAGCAGCTCTGAGTCCAGATCTTCCTCTTCCTCCTTTCTAGCAACAGAACCTCACTACTGGTTTCTAGATACAGTTTGGGGCTCTGGGCTGTCCTGCAGCCTAGGGAAGCTCCCCTTGCCCCTGCCCCTGTTCCAGGTATGGGGCACAGGTTAGGGGTACAGGCATAGGCCCTGGCTCGTTCTGCCTGGTGTGTGGAGCCTCTGCCCAGCCCAAGGCCTCCCCAGAGTGCTTGGTGCCCATCTGGCTGGCTGGTGACTGTACGTCATGCTGCCTGGCTCCCAAGGTGCCTTGGCCCTGGTCAGCCTGCACCGGGCCTCTCTGCTTCCTGCATTCTGAATGCCAGTTGTACGTTCCAGGGTCTCACCTCTCCCAGCTGGTCCCCCCATGTATTCCCATTCCTGCAGCCCACGGCCCTTGTCCCTCGAGGGGAAGAGGCAGGTGTGTGCAGGTGGAGGCTGGTAGAAGACTGCCACCCCATAGCATTGAGGCAGGGACCAGACTTCTCAGGGCGGGGTGAGGGAGGGGTGGCTTAGCTCCCCCAGCACCAGGTGGGTACTGGGAAACAGGCTGGAAGAACAGCTACTGACCTGGCCCGCTTCCCCTAGCTGAGCCTCTGGGCCGGGCGCTGCGTGCCCTGGGTGTCGGTGACTTGGCTAACCCCTCATCTCCCACCCCTGCCCAGGGCTTCTTCCGCCGCAGTATCCAGAAGAACATGGTGTACACGTGTCACCGTGACAAGAACTGCATCATCAACAAGGTGACCCGGAACCGCTGCCAGTACTGCCGGCTGCAGAAGTGCTTCGAAGTGGGCATGTCCAAGGAATGTGAGTGGTGTGGGGATAGAGACCAGGCTGGTCCAGCTGGGACCCTTGGTGTCCACGCAGGCCGGGCGAGTTGGGCTGTGTGGCCATGTGTGCACATGTGTTGTCTGGGCATGCATGTGTGTGTGCCTGCAGGGACCTGAATCCCTGAGTGTAAGCGGGCCTCACTGGCTGCATATGCGTGTGCAGGCTGACAGGAGAGTCCAGTGTGTGTGTAACTGCTCCCGTTTGCACATTGGGCTGTTGGTACGTGTGTGTACCCGTGTGTTGTTTTCTTTCAGAGTCCCTTCCTAGCCTGAAGTCCCAGAGGTGCTGGCTCAGTGTCTGAGGATACATGGGTTATGGGGGCCAGGAGTGGGGTGGGGAGGGCCTGGGATCTGGTTAAGCTGGCGATCTGGAATTTGAAGAAGGCTGCATTGGGACCTCTTAGGTCCCCCAGGAATGGGGCTTTCTGGTTTGCGCTCAGCTGAGGCCTGAGGGAGGGAGGGAGGAGGAAGGGCTGGACAGGGAGACCCTCTTGTGTTGAAGCATGGGTGTTGCCTTGGTGACCAGTGATTGATGATGTCAGAGATAAATGACGCTGACAGACGCCTCCTTGTCTGCGTGGCCGTTGCCATGGAGCCCGAGCCTTGGGGGATGAAGAAGGGGGAGGGGTCTGCAGGACCCCCTAGCCCTTTGTGGGGAGGGTAGTGCAGGAGGAAGTGGGGTGGGGGCATGAGGGAGCAGAAGTGGTTTCTGACTCACATAGAAGTGGAACATCCTGCAGCATCCCGCTTCCTCCTGCCACCGGAGACCAGGGTGCCTTGTCCCGTACCCCAGAAGCGGTGGCTTGCTGATGCCCAGTGGGTGACAACTTGGGACCCTTTTCTTGAGGGCCTTCACCTCCTCCTCCCTCTGCTGCCACCTCTCCACTCCCTTCATCACAGAAGGACCAGGGTGGGGACCCTTCTCCCTCCCCCCCAGCAACCCCCCTTTTCTCTCCCTCCTCCCCTTCTCCCGGCTGGCTGCTCTCTGCCCCGGAGCTGAGCAGCTGCCATTTCAATAGAATTAAAGCTTCCGAATGATAAACGTCTTGTCACAGCTGCAATTTTCTCTTCCCAAATTATCCCCCCACTCTCCCTCTCCCTCTGCCTCCTCTCCCCTGCACTTTATTGAATTTGCAGAATCGACATGAGTGATCTCCAAATTATGCCAGCACCCCCTCCCCCACCCCCCTCCCCGTGCCCCTGCACCCCCCCAACTCCCCCCTTCTTCCCGTGGCAGCCGCCGCCACCACTGGCCCTGTGAGTGATTGTGTGTCTGGGATAATCGGCTGGTAACGACCCCATCGCTTCTTTAAAGCCGAGTGGTGTGTGCGGCTCAGCGCCCCTGGTGATTTGTCAGCTCCCCGGCTAATGGGCCCAGGGACTCTCCTGCCCTGTGCCCCAACTCTCAGCTTGGGGAGCCCCATTCCCTGCCTGCCCAAGGGACTTCTCCTAGTGCGTCCCAGGCATCCCCCAGGGCTCCAGAAGGCAGGAGCAGGGTCCTGCGTGGGGTACACCTTTCCAGGTTTGTTGGGGGGACAGCTCAGGCCGCTGGGACAGGGCTGTGTGTGTGGGTCAGCTGGGTGTGCGGGGCTGGAATGTGTGCTGATGCTCACCTGGCTGTGTGCATGGTGTGTCTGTGATATGCTTGTGTGTGTGTGTGTGTGTGTGTGTGTGTGTGGACGGCCACGGTGACCTCCTTCGATGGAAGAAGAGTTGGGGCTGGGGCCGGGCCGCTGCCACAGCTGTCCTCCAGCCTGGCCCCTGTCCCCACCCCCCCATCCACAGCTGTGCGGAACGACCGGAACAAGAAAAAGAAGGAGGTGCCCAAGCCCGAGTGCTCTGAGAGCTACACGCTGACGCCCGAGGTCGGGGAGCTCATCGAGAAGGTGCGCAAAGCGCACCAGGAGACCTTCCCCGCCCTCTGCCAGCTGGGCAAGTACACTACGGTACGGCCTGCCCCCGGGTCCTCGAGCGGGCTGGCCCGCGGGGGCTGCGGCCGTGGGCAGTGCGGCAAGGAGGACCTCACTCTTCCCCTTCCCCCAGAACAACAGCTCAGAACAACGTGTCTCTCTGGACATTGACCTCTGGGACAAGTTCAGTGAACTCTCCACCAAGTGCATCATTAAGACCGTGGAGTTCGCCAAGCAGCTGCCCGGCTTCACCACCCTCACCATCGCCGACCAGATCACGCTCCTCAAGGCGGCCTGCCTGGACATCCTGGTGAGGGGCAGAGCCTGGACCCCCAGTCCCCCCAGCTGCTCCTGGCCCTGCTGTCCACCTGTGCCTGGGGGTACATAGCCTCTGCCAGGCATCATCTCCCAGCCTGAGGGGTCCTGGAGGAGGAGCACCAAGCAGTTTGTGCAGGAGGGAGTTCCTGAATGAAGAGCAGGAGGTGGACGGCCTGCTGCCGGGAGGCCTGCCTGCTGCGGTGGGGAGGGATTAGAAGAAGCTGCTGTGTGCTCTGCTTGGCCTGGAAGGTCTGGTGGGGTGGGAGTGTGTGCTTCTGCAGGAGCCTGCCCGCCCCTGCCCGCATCTCCCGCCCCGCTCATCCCTGCGCTCTAGAAGCAGTAATGGTTAAGCAGGTGCTCGGGTACACGTGTGTGTTCAGGTGGGCCTGGGAACTGGAGCCTGAGACCCGCCACAGACCCTACCTCCTGGAAACCCCAGGGTCCCTACAGCCTCCCCACACGGAGGCCACACTGCCCAGGGCGCCCGCCACTCTCACGTGTGACTGTTCACGACCACATGAATTAGCACCAAACTTAGTTCCTAGGTCGTGTTGAGCACGCGGTAGGTAGGTGCTGCCTGGCCACACGTGGCTGTCACAGTGGAGGATTCCTTTGGGAATCTGGAGAGCCTGGGCCTGGAGAGCCGAATGAGGCCCGTGTCCCTAAACCTGTGTGTCTTCTGTCCTCAGATCCTGCGGATCTGCACGCGGTACACGCCTGAGCAGGACACCATGACCTTCTCAGACGGGCTGACCCTGAACCGGACCCAGATGCACAACGCTGGCTTCGGACCCCTCACCGACTTGGTCTTTGCCTTCGCTAACCAGCTGCTGCCCCTGGAGATGGACGATGCCGAGACCGGGCTGCTCAGTGCCATCTGCCTTATCTGTGGAGGTGGGCAGGGTGGGCGCTGAAGGGCCAGGCCCAGGGGCGGGGTGGGGTGGGGTGCAGGCAGGCTCTGCAGCCCTGGGAAGGCTCAGCTATCATGCACTCAAGGACCCCCAAGGCCCAGAGGGGCAGGGTCCAGGTGCTTCCTGGAAGCCCCCCTGCTGGTGGGTTTTGGGAGTGAGGGCTGGAGGTCTGGGCACCCAGCTTTCCAGCCTGGCTGGCCCTGTGACCTTGAGCTGGTTGCCAAACTTGTCCCATCTCGGCCTCTGTTTCAATAAAATGCGGGCAGTGCTGGCCTCCTTGGAATTGATGGGAAGATGAAATGGGGGGCAGAGGAGATGGTGAACAAGGGTGCCCAGAGAAAGACCCCATGGCTGTTATTCTTGGCATCTCTGCCCTGTGTAGCTGCTGGTGGGAGGCTGGCCCGGACAGCTCCACTGCTGGACTGAGGGTGCCGCCTTGTGTTGGGACTTGGTGGGAGGACTCTGGGGCCACCCCCACCTGCAGCTTTTTTATCTCACTTTTGAGATTCCCTGGGCGGGGGTTGGCAACCCCCGGACCTCCAGCCCAGCCCTCCCTGCCTGAGCCCCTGCAGGGCGGCTCCGGACTCTGGCCTGGCGTCAGCACGCCCCCCGGTGTCCGCGTGTGGAAGTGCAGCTGCTCAGGGAGGGCGGCCCTGTGCTCCGCAGACCGACAGGACCTGGAGCAGCCAGACCGGGTGGACATGCTGCAGGAGCCGCTGCTCGAGGCGCTGAAGGTCTACGTGCGCAAGCGGAGGCCCAGCCGCCCCCACATGTTCCCCAAGATGCTGATGAAGATCACAGACCTGCGAAGCATCAGCGCAAAGGGTGAGTACCTCTTGCCCCCCACCCCCTGACCAGGTTGAGATCCCACAACCTGATTCCACCCGTGCTACCCTCCACCCCAAATCCCTCTTAGCTGCCCCGAGCAGGCCAGGGCACAGCGGGACCCGCTCGCTGACCTCCAGCCGCCCTCCCTCCCTGCAGGGGCTGAGCGGGTGATTACGCTGAAGATGGAGATCCCGGGCTCCATGCCACCCCTCATCCAGGAGATGCTGGAGAACTCGGAGGGCCTGGACACTCTGGGCAGCCAGCAGGGCGGCCCTGGAAGGGACGAGGGCGGCCTGGGGCCCCCGCCCGGCAGCTGTAGTCCCAGCCTCAGCCCCAGTTCCACCCGGAGCAGCCCGGCCACCCACTCCCCGTGACCACCCCTGTGCTCTGTGGACATGGCCCTCGCTCCCACGCCACCCCGGCTTCTCTCTGCCTTTCTGCCGACCGACCATGCGCCCCCTGCCAGCCCTGTCCCCCACTGTGGGGCATGGGTTGGGGTGCCTTCCCCAGAAGGCAGGAGGAAAAAGGCAGCAACTCCTCGGACCAGACCGAGGCCTGTGTCCCGGACGGACAGACGTCGGGGGCGAAGCTGTGACCTGAGTGGAGCCCCGGGCTTGGCCCCAGGATGGGGGTGCCTCGTGTGGCTCGGGACAGCTGCCTGCCCACCTCGCACGTGTTCATCACCAGCAAACACCCGGACCTGGCTCCCTGCCCGCCCAGCTCACAAAGCCATCATCACCCCCCTGGCCGGGGACTCGTGGGGTGGGCCGGGGTGGGCTTCCCTGTATATACCATACCAACCCCAGGTATTAATTCTTGCTGGTTTTGTTTTTATTTTAATTTTTTTTGTTTTGATTTTTTTTTAAATAAGAATTTTCATTTTAAGCACATTTATACTGAAGGAATTTGTGCTGTGTATTGGGGGGAGCTGGATCCAGAGCTGGGGGTGCGGGTCCTGGGGGAGGGGCGTGGCTCACAGGGGCTCCTGCTCTCCCGCCCACTCCTCACGCCCCCCAGCCCTCCCCCTCCTTTTCTCCTCCCTTTTCTCCTTAAAACTGTGAAATGCTCGCTTCCCGAGGCCCAGCGCCCCTCCTCCATGCCCCTTCCACCTCTTCCCAACCACTGAGTGGGGGCAGCCCGAGCAGGAGGGGCTCCTGGCCCTTGCACCTGCTGCACCCCCTGTGGTCTCTGGGCCGACCTCCTCACACCCCTCCCCTCAGGACCCAGCGTGTCCATGCCCCTCTGCCCCACTGTGAAGGGGCCAGCTGGGGGTCGGGGAGGCCTGAGCTGCCCCATGTCCTCCCTCACAGCACCAGCACCCCACGGGGTCCCCAGACACACACACAATACACACACACACTGTGGACAGTAAATGGCCCACCCTTGGCCTGAGTTCCTCCATTTCCCTGGCCTGCCCCCCATGCTCCCCACCTGCGCCCCCTCCTTGCCCCGCAGGACGGGCCTACAGGGGGGTCCCTCAGCCCCGTGTCCCTGCACCCCTGGGCTGGGAGGAGCTGGCTGTGCCCTGCCCTCCTCGCCCAGGGAGTGGGGTCTCCTGCCCCTGGAGCCCGCTGGTGCACCTGTTACTGTTGGACTTTCCACTGAGATCTACTGGATAAAGAATAAAGTTCTATTTATTCTACCTGTGCCTCGGCCTGCTGCCTCCGCCCTCTCTGTCTCTGGGTTGGGGACTTGGGGATGGGTGGGGTGACGGCCCAGAGGGGTCGAGTGTGAACACCCAGGGGCTGAGGGTTTGGCCAGTGATACTTGCCCTGGGCCTGCCTTGTTGGGGGGTGGTCCCTGGGGGTCCTGAGGAAGGGGAGCAGGCCCACTCTGCGGAGCCCTGGCTCTGGGACTCCCCACTGCCCATACCAAGGAGCCCCCGTGTGGACGTGGGGACGGCAGGGGAGAAAAGGCCTCTTCCCTCGGGGACTGTAGCTCTGCCCCTGCTCCCTGGCCCTTAGGAAACTAGCGCTAGGAGCTGCTTCCTGGCAGTGACCACAGACTTGGCTTCCACAGCGTGAGTGGGGTCAAGGGCTGGCAACAACACCAGCTTGCAAGGACTCAGGTGGCCAGGCCACCTTCCGTCCTTTTCTGGAGATGCTCTTATGCCACTTGCCCTGTTATTAAGGTCACTGTGTGGGCACGAGGCAGAGGGCAGATGGCAGACAGCCTGGATGCTGCCAGCTGGGAGGGCTGTGTGACAGGCCCCCGATGGCCCTCACAGGCCAGTTCTGCCCAGAAAGGGTGGAGGATTTGCCCAGGATCACGCGGCAGGGTGCTGGCTGATCTGGAACCAGCACTCGGGGCTCCCACCGCCAACCCAGGGACCTTACCCGGATGTTTGAAGCCTCAGAAGTAGCTTCAGTAGAATTACCAAACAGCCTCACTGGGGACTGCACCGCAGGTCATTGCCATTCCTACTTGAACCACCAGGTGGCGGCCGTTCCTCACATAACTCAAGCTAGAGCGCATGGCTGGAGGCACCTCCATGTATAGTTTCTTCTTTTAAAAAGCCTTATTTGGGGTCCGGCAGCATGGCCTAGCGGCTAAAGTCTTCACACCAGGATCCCATATGGACGCCGGTTCTTAATCCAGGCAGCTCTACTTCCCATCCAGCTCCCTGATTGTGGCCTGAGAAAGCAGTAGAGGACGACCCAAAGCCTTGGGACCCTGCACCCATGTGGAGACCAAGAAGGGGATCCTGGACTGGTGCCCATATGGGATCCCAGCGCTGTGTTCAACAAGGACTTTAGCTGCGAGGCTACAGTGCTGGGTCCCCCGAGAACTTCTGTTGAGTCTGCTCATGGGTGGCTCATAAGTTCTTTCCAGAAGAACCTGGCCAGAGATAATGCCCACTGTGCAGCCTGGAAGGCACTGACCAAGTCCTGCCTGCCATGGCCGACGGGAGGCTGCCTCAAGAGCTTGTAACCAGGCTGGGGTCAGAGCCCAGGAGGCTTCCTGGAGGAGGTGGCTCTCAGCTGCAACTCTGAGGGCAAGAAGTGTGAGCGGGTCAGGGCGTGGGGAGAAGTGGCCTCCTGGGGCCAGAAGTCATCAGCTGCCCCAGCGCTTTAAGCATTTTCCACTTTGGCTCTGCAGGCTGGGAGCGGCTCAAGTGAAAGCCGGCCCGGGGCTGGACCTGGCGGGCAGGAGTGACAGCAGGTGAGTGAGGCATGCGGGGTTGGGGGGGCTGTGGCGGGGCGGAGGTCGGAGCAGAGTGGCAAGGGAAACCTGGACGCCACAGGCTGAAGGAGTGGGCACAGCAAGCTGGGCGCGGACAGGGGCTCAGCTGGGTGGAGGCAAGCGAGCGGATGCAGGTACCAGCCAGAGGGCCCAGCAGCGAGGCCCCTCAGCAGCCTCCTGTTGGCCTCCACCGCCCACCTGCCCTTCCTTGCGCGTTTCCACCTTAGGCACCTGCTCGCCCCCTCCACTTACTTGCAGCTTCTTCCTGAAACTGCTTCCTGGCTAGGCCCTGCCCACCCCCGGGGGTTCTCCCACCGCCCTCAGCACTTGCTGATGTAGCTGTTTTCTGTTTCCCATGTGGCCTGGGCCGGGTGCTGTCCCTGCTGGCCACAGCGGCGGGAGCCTTGGAGGCGAGGCTGTCTGCGGCGAGGTGCGCTTCCCCGCCTGGAGGCCGAGACACAGCGCAAGGCAGGCTTCTTGGCGCTGAGGGCATGTGGGCACAGCAACATCGACATATACTGTGTTAGGGAAAATATAGGGGGGGTGTGCATTTCATCTATTTTATTTTCCCTTTAAAAGTATTTCTGAAGATTAATTTATTTTTATTGGAAAGTCAGATACACAGAGAAGAGGAGAGACAGAGGAAGATCTTCCATCCATTGATTTACTCCCCAAGTGGCCACAACGGCTGGAGCTGAGCTCCAATCTGAAGCCAGGAGCCAGGAGCTTCTTCCAGGTCTCCCATGCAGATGCAGGGTCCCAAAGCTTTGGGTCGTCCTTGACTGCTTTCCCAGGCCACAGGCAGGGAGCTGGATGGGAAGCAGGGCCACCAAGATTAGAACCGGCGCCCATATGGGATCCCAGCGTGTACAAGACAAGGACTTTAGCCTCTAAGGCTACAATGCCGGGCTAAAAGAACTTTTTAATGTGAATTACTGTCAGGGTCAGGGAAAGAAAGATCTTCATTCATTGGTTCACTCCTTGAACACCTGCAACAGCTAAGAGTCGGAAACTGCAGCTGGTCTCCCGCACGGGTGCAGGGAGCACTTGCCCTTCCTCTGCTGCTTTCCCAGCACTCAGCAGGGAGCTGGACGGGAAGTGGGGCTGCCGGGACTCAAATGAGATGCTGACGTCATAGGCAGCAGCTTAAGGCGCTGTGCTCTGACGCCAGCCCCTCTTTTGGTTTGTCTCGTCACGTGGCTAATGGGAAGCTGGAGACTGCCCACGTGAGCTGCACATGCATCGTGGACATGCGCACGCTTGTCCTTGGGGAGCTGCTGGTGACAGACTCAGTGCGTGGGGCATCTTCAGAGTCGTGTGCCCCCACATACTTACTAAGCACCTACTGGGTGCCAGGAGCTGGGAGGGAACGTAGCCGTTGGGTACAGGGTCTCTCCCCAGGGAGGCACCGAGCCCAGCCTCTGGGGGAGGGTGAGGCAGAGCAGGGGCCAGGGGTCAGACAGTGACCCCTGCTCCGTCACATCATCACGTGGGTTCTGGGAAGTGTCCCAGGAACTATGACACTGAGGTGGTGGGGGGAGACGGGCGAGGAGCAGGGGCTGGCGGGCAGGGTAGGTCCGGGGGCACCTTCATTCTGGCGGGAAACTGAGCGCCAGGGCGGGGCGGGGGGAGGCAACGTGCCCACGTCCCAGCTATCCCCCTGCAGCGCCCAGGCCCTGCCAGTGCCAGGTGGGACCCGGGCTGCACGCCCCCGCCCCGCCGCCCTCAGCCTTCTAGCCGGGCCCTCTTGGGGAGGGAGTGGCACCAGGATGCCCCTGGGCAGGGCAGAGCTCGAAGGGGCCCGGTGGCTGTCGCGGGGCCATCTCCCCAGGAGCTCAGAGCGCCTGCATGCCCGGGACGCACGTGGGAGCTGCACATTGCACAGACCTCACACCGCAGCTCGCAGTGTAGCACGCGTGTTCGCGGGCACAGTCACACGCGCGGGGGGAGGGACGCTGCTGTCACGGCTGTTTTGGTCCCCAATTAAACATGCGGATCAACCGGCGTGCCTTCCCTCCTCCTCCTCTCGGGGAGGGCCTCCCTCCTGTCTTCCCGCCGGGATCGGCAGGCAAGCGTCTGCGCCCCGTCCACGCGCCCCGCGACGCTCCCCGCTCTCGGCCGCGCGCGTGGTGGGGCCCGAGCTGCGGCGTCCCGGCGCGCCGGCCGCTAGATGGCCAGGTCCCGGCGGTCGGTGCCCAGCGACGCCTTGCCGCGCGCGCTGCCCTCGTGGCCCGGGGCGGCCGGCGCCCGGTGCGCGTAGGCGGGCGGCGCGTAGGGGTCGGGGTCGGCGCGCGGGGCGTGCGGGGCGAGCGGGGCGTGCGGGGCCGGGGGCGCCGGGGGCGGCAGCAGCTGCTGCGCCTCCTCGTGCGCGCGGTTGCAGAGGTTGTCGCGCTGGCCGGCGCGCGGGCGGCCCTTCCAGAGCAGGTGGCCCAGCTCGGCCAGGCTGAGCAGCGCCGAGAGCAGCCCGACGGCGAAGTAGAAGAGCAGGAAGACCGTCTTCTCGGTGGGTCGGCTCACGAAGCAGTCGACCGTGTGCGGGCAGGGCGGGCCGGCGCACGCGAAGTGCGGGGCCACGCGGAAGCCGTAGAGCCGCGCCTGGCCGCCCAGGAAGGCCAGCTCGGCCAGCAGGCGCAGCGCCACGCTGAGCAGGTAGCAGCGGCGCGCGGCGCGGGGGGCGCGGGGCGCGCGGGGGGCGCGCGGGGCGCGGGGCGGGCTCGGGCCGTCGGGCCCCCCGCAGGCGCCGGCCGCCGCCTCCTCCGCGCCGCCCGCCTGCTTGCCGGCTCGGTGCATGGAGTAGATGACGAAGAGCACGGGCGGCGCCGAGAGCAGCAGGATGTGGAAGAGCCAGAAGCGGTAGTGCGAGACGGGGAAGGCGCGGTCGTAGCACGTCTGGCGGCAGCCGGGCTGCAGCGTGTTGCACACGAACTCCTCCTGCTCGTCGTCGAACACGGCGCCGCCCACCGTGGCCAGCACCAGGATGCGGAAGATGAGCATGACCACCAGCCAGAGGCGGCCCACGAGCGGGGACTGCAGCTGCACGGCGTCCAGCAGCGAGCCCAGGAAGGCCCACTCGCCCATGGCGCTGCAGACACAGGGCGGGGGGACCCCGGCCCCTCCGCGCCCGCCAGACCTCGTCTGTCTGCAGGGTGAAGGGGACGGGGAGCTCCAGGTGAGGCCTCACAAGGGGATTCTCTCCCAGGGGTTCACTCTGTCTTCGGGGTGCCGGCCTGTGACCCCTCTGGGGCTCCCCGACTCGCGCTTGGGGAGGCAGGCCTCCAGCGGGGGCCCGTGGGTGCTGGGTGCGCCCAGCCTGGGCCTCCGGGAGGGACTTGGGGCAGCGGGGAGGGGACCCCGGAAGGCGGGCCCCCTTCCCCAGGCCCTGGTCCTCGCAAGGCCTGACGCAGAGCGAGCCCCCCCTGCCCAGCCCTCTCGGGGGGCTTGCGTCCAGGTGTCGGCCGTCACTCCTGCCCCAGCGTGGAGGGGCTGCGGCCTGGCCCTCTCCCACCCCTTCCCTGGCAGCCCCCCCAGCACACACACACTCCCTGGTCCCCAGAGCCCCCCCGGACCCCTCTCACCTCGGGGCAGCGGCCAGGAGCTCAGCGCCGAGCGCAGGCCCTCGGGAGCCAGCTGGGACCTGTCGCTCCTGGTCCCTCTTTCATTTTCCCTTTTGGGTCTGGCTGGGGTGGATGACAGGATGGGATGGCTGCGAGGGGCTAGCTCTCCCCCTTCTCTTAAAGGGACAGGGTGACCCCGCTGGCTGGCTCTACCCTTGGGAACAGATCCAGGCCACGCCTCTCGCTGGGCTCTGCCAACTCTCCCTTTCCACGCTCCCCCCGCCCCATCCCACAGCTCTTTCCCTCTGCAAATGGGGGAGGGGGTTAACCGGAGCCACAGGATTTACTCGGGGAACAAGGGGGTGCAGGGAGCCGGGGTGATCAGCTGGGCTGAGTGACGGGCCCTTGGAAGGTGGGCATCGGCTGGCGCTGCCAGCGGAGAGGCAGGAAGCCGAGAGCCCCTGGGTCCAGCCTGGCCACCACTTGACCTCGCAGTCACTCGGGTCTCCTGGCCGGAACCTGCTGGCTTGTCCCTCGAGGAGGCTGGCCCGGCTCACCTCCACATCTTTTTTAGCTCTGCTTTTTTTAAAGATTAATTTTGTTTATTTGAAAGACAGAGTTAGGAGGAACAAGCATGCGAGAGAGAAACTTCCATCTGCTGGTTCACTTCCCAAATGGCCAAGGTTGTGCCAGGCCAGAGCCAGGAGCCTGGAGCTCCTTCCGGGTCTCCCACATGCTGCAGCGGCCCAAGCACCCGGACCAACTCCTGCTGCCTTCGAGCAGCGGGGACCTGAGTGGTGCCCATATGAGATGCCAGGGCTCCAAGTGGCAGCTTAACCCTTAGCTCCACACCTTAATACATGGTTCCAAACACGTTATAGAGAACGAACAAAACAATAAAATCATGCCTGGAAAAACTGGTGGTCGGCTGTATGTGTCCCAGTTTGAGGTCTGGCAAAGAACCAGCTCCTGGCTACAGTCCGGGCTGAACCTGGAGGCAGAAAGTCCGGGAATCCCGGCAGCTGACGGCCCCGGGGCGTGGGTCCCTGCGCCCGTGTGGGAGACCTGGGAGCTCCTGCCTCCTGGCCTCAGCCTGCTATTCCAGTTTTTTGGAATATATATATAAAGTGGCTGTGTGTTCTTTTCCGTAACCTGCAGATTCTATAGTCAATGTTCTTTCCTAGTAGGAAAACAAAGTGAACAAATCTTTTCCAGCAGAAGGCTCCGGATTGAGCGCCTCGCTGCTGCTCTGTGCCCCGAGGGAGATGGGTGACCAGTGGGGATCTGTGTCCAAGAAAGGGACCCTCCTGGTCCCTTCTGCCTTCCCAAGCAGCCTGCTGAATCCCAACCCACTCCTTCCACACCTGTGCACCTGCTGGGCCCAGGCTGTGCAGCCCTGCACGGCCACGAGAGGGCGCTTGCCCACAGCCAGGAAAACAGCCCCGGCCCTGACCCCGCACGCCCCCCCCCCCCCCCCCCCGCGCCCCCGCGCCCCATGGGGTCGCCAGCCCCTGGTAAGCCCATCCCGGAACTGTCAGTCCCCCCCGCCGGTCCCACGGCTGAAGGCCTTGTGTGGGGCCGGCATGCGCACTGGACTTCCCTGGGGACCCGCACTATTTTCCATTTGTTACTGTCCCCCGCCTGGCCCACTTACAGGAAGGGGTGGGATGCACACCCTTCACCCCCTGGCTTAGGGGCCTGACCCACCGTGGAAAATGTTAACCGTTCTGGGGAGCGCAGGAGGTATGGGGGAGTCCCTAGGGAGTGGAGATGGGTGGGGGGCAAATTACCAAAGGGAAAGCACCTGCCCTCCCCACCCCCCACCAGGTCCAAAAACAGGATGTGGGGTGGGGGCTTAGCTGACCTCCACCTGCCCCGGAAAGCTGTTCCCTTCAACTAGCCCCAAGCGCGGGCTCCCTGGTCACACCTCAGCTCCCCTGCCCAGGGCTCCTGCTGCGTCAGGACAACAGCCCGGCCTGGAAAAATCCACCTGACCCTCGTGGCTTTGGCGTGGGGGAGAGGGGCTGGGCTGGAGCCCCGCGTGGCTCGCGGCCAGACACAGGGGCCTCCATAATCTCCGGGGCCCCGTCCTCTCCCCAGATGGCGCCGCCGGCCAGCTCGGAAGGAGGTGTCGCTGACGCTGCCCAGAGCCTGTGGCATCCTTGGCCCTGCCTGAAGACAAGGGGCCTCCCAGGGCCCAGCTTCACCCAGGGGCCCGGGAGGACGCTGCAGCAGGACAGGGGGCGCGGTGGCCCCATCATGGCCTTCCGCAGACCCCCGTGGCTGCATGGCTTCCGACCCTCCAGGTAGCCTGGGACTCTGAACCCAGGACCTCCAGGTCACCGGCTCGCCCCCACTTCTATCCCTAGGCCTGAGCCTGGTGCTTCCAGCAGACCCATAGGCCCCAGAAACTGGGACAGGACAGCAGGTGACCTCATTGGGCGGAGGGGACTGTCCTCCTCGCAGGCCACGCCCTTCAGCCGGGGAGGCTATGTGGTTTTCATCTTGGAGATTCTGGTTCAGCTTGAGCAAACAAAACCCTTTCCCTTCCTTCCCTTGGGCCGTCCTCTGCTGCCTTCCCAGGCCACAGGCAGGGAGCGGGATGGGAAGTGGAACAGCCAGGATACGAACCAGCGCCCACATGGGGTCCCAGTGCAGGTAAGGTGAGGACTTGGCTGTGAGGCTACTGTACCAGGCCCAAGTCCTCCATCTTATCCACACTTGATCAGTTGGTTCAACAGTTTTAAGATGGTTGCACCGCTTTAAAAGTGATTCCCTCCATGAACAAATAATTTGATAATCTGGTCAGCTCCTTGAGGATATCAGTAAGTTATATTTGGGAGAGGCTGATCTTGCAGCACGAGGCTCCTACCCTGGAACGCCAGCTCAAGCACTGCTGCTCGGCCTCCAATTCAGCTTCTTGCTAATGTGCCTGGGAAGGCAGCAGGTGGTCCCGGTGCCACCACTGGCTCCTGGCTTCTACCCAGCCTGGCCATGGCTTTTTTGGCAATTTGGAAAGTAGCTTGCTGGCCCACCGCAATGGCTCAGGGGCTAGATCCTCGCCTTACATGCACAAAGATCCTATATGGGCACCAGTTTGTGTTGGTCAAGGACTCCCCAAAGCCTGCACCTGCGTGGGAGACCCAGAAGACGCTCCTGGCTCCTGATGGACTCAGCTGTGGCCACTGTGGCCACCTGGGGAGTGATCTAGCAGATGACTCTGTAAATCTGACTTTCCAATAACAATAAATATTTTTTAAAATCCTTAAAAAAAAAAAAAGAGGAAGGATTTATCCTATTCCTAAAATCCCAGAAACAGAACACCCTTCTTGGCCATAATGAGGTTGCAGCCTCTGCCTTGTGGATCTGTCACCACGTCCCGGGGCTGCCAGGCCCTGAGAGCACTGGGACAGCTCTCCAAAGGAAGAGAAGCAGGGGGCTGTATTTTAGAACAGGGCACAGTCTGGGTTGGAATAAAAAAAAAAGGATAATGAATGGTTGCAATGTATAGAACTAAAATTTTATTAAAGTACAAAATTGTTGGAGTTAAGCTGAACAGAAAAACATAGTAAATATTTACAAACACGGATAACATCACGTGAGGCACACACATGAAACAATGCAAGGTCTTAAGAGGTTTACAAGTTGAGAACATGCCAGTCTTCTCAGATGGACTGAACGCCTTACCGCACACACGGCATCCGCCTGACGCACAGGCTCTGCTGCCTCCACGCTCGCGCGGGGCCAGCGCCGAGACAGTCACGCACCGGCCTCATCTTCGTCCTGCTGACCAGGTGAGGCCACACAGGCACGACTAGTCCTAGTGATACTCTGGAAACACAAAGACTGAGCAGTGTCCCCACGTCTCAGCACATCAAAGGCTCAACAGCCTGTGCACCATAAAGTTCTATCTGATGGAAAATTACTTAGAAAACGAAAATGCTCTGTCTCGTGGTGGCTGACAACAGGAAAGGAAGCAGGGTGGCACTTTTAAATCAAAGTGTTCCAGTTTTAGCTCAGTGAGTGGTTAGTTGATTACTTTATACTGAAGTGATGAAATACCCAGCTTAGAGTCCAGAACTTAAAATGAGATTTCCAGGACAAAAGAAAACAAATTTAAAACACAGACAAAGTAGAAGAAAATAATGTTCATGGGATGGTCACTCTTTAGATACCTGGGGAGGAAATTAAGAGCTCCAGGTAACTTTAAAACCAGTCTTCGGCTCGTTATTTAAAAAAATTCACCTGGCACTTTAAAACAGATCCTCTTCGTCTGACTCTTCCAGGTACTTGATGGGCTTCTTTGCCCGGCTGGATTTTGCCCGAGGAGCCACGGCGGAGTCCAGGTCCAGATGGAAGTTATCGCTGTCCCCTTTAGATTTCTGAGAAGGAGAAAAGCTCAGTTAACTGGGGCAGTGCAACCCCGACAGTGCAGCTCGGTGAGAAACACATTCCAATTCCAGGAGCTCCCACCTTCTGCTAAGCAGTAAGAACTAGATGGGTCACAGGCAGCCAACCCGCCTC